ATAAAAGTATGAATGGAGCTACACAGACACTAGCTCCGAAATATTTTTCCAATGATAAAACTAAAGAAATATATAGGATTCTGTGATATATTGAAAATATTTTCTACAACTATCATTTCTACATGAAAATTTAAAGCCGGCTACGAAATCTTCCTTTTAAATATTAATTACTTCGGAAAAACTTTTAAAAACATTTTACAAATAGTACAAGATCGTTGAACTACTTCAGGAAGAGGTCCGTCTGAAAAAAACGTTCAAGCAATAGCGTCGGTATTACATAAAAAGAAATCTCTGATTTGCATAATGACGTCCCAAACAGAAAGTTCTTGATTCAGTCGTTCGTTTGAAGAAAGTTAGAAATTCAAAATATAGATATCATCTTTAGGCTGCCAAGGTGGTCCAAGTCTTTAAATAAATTGCTCCGACTTCGTGGGATTTTGATGGGCGCTGGTTCGGCATTCGACGTGATAAATACTTAAAAGTATCATGGTAATTCAAGGGATCGACTTCGCCAGGATATTCCAATCCCCGTTAATGTGACGAGCTCCCATTAAAATTTTCTTAATATCGACTGCTGCAACAGGCCGTTGCAGGATTCAGATTGAAAAAGAGGTAACAGGGTAGGGCGAGGCGGGACGGGGTTGGAGGGAGGGAGGGAAGCGAGGAGAATTCGTGTCGGGCGAGACGCGTCTGTCTGGCTGCCGGAGTTTCCGCTCGGAACCAAGGACTCCTCGTTTTAATGGAATAAAGAGCCGGAGAAAGTACTGGTTTCCCCCCTAAGGGAACTCGCTTGTAAACGATATTATTACGATGTCGTGTTAAAATATTGCGACTATCTCGCGGGCGGCGGAGGATGTTCCGTTTAGTTCGACGATTCAGAAAAAGGGGGATGTTTCGGCCCTTCGAGCGAAGGTCGTCCTCCTCCTCTGTCCTCGTCCCTCTTCAATCACGGAATCTCACCCAACCCGCTCGTTGCATGCCGGCGTCTGCATTTATAAAAAGCAATATGCACTGCAGGGAGGTCGGAAAATGCGCGGGAGCAATATCGCGGAATGGCTGAAACTTGTGATCGTTTAATATATTTCATATAATAACGGATTCATTTCGCGGAGTGGAAAGTTTGGCGTCTTGCCTCTTCGTTTGTTTTCGTGATAACGCGAGCCGCGCTGCCTTTTTTTTGTTTTCAACAAAAAAAAGGGGAAAGGAAACGAAACGAAAAACCGGTGGAGCACCGGCTGGTAAATAGCGGGCACATTCGCCGCATCGCGGTGCGCCTGTGAATTTTCACGTGTTTCGTAGTTGCTAAGAGGCGATGCTTCGAAAAAATGTAATCGTTTCCGGTCTGGTTGCGTGTTAACCGCAATTTACTTTAGACTCTGACGATAACCCTTTCGAGACATGTCCACGGGGAACAAGAAATCGTTGAGGAAAATAAAAAGAATCAGTGAGAAGGATAAACGCATGGCGCTTCTCGTGAAAGAGATTGCGCGGCTGGAAGAAGAAAACAATAAACTGAAGCGTGATAGTGTGGAATACGAGAATAAACTGGCCACATATTCCCGTCCGACACGTCTCACCACCAATTTTCCGACGTTCAATCGCGTCCTCGAAACCGCTGCGGACAATCCGACAGCTTCTAAGTTGGAAAAAAGTTTGACGAATACTTTACGTCCGGACAACGGTCAAAGCAACGATTCGACCAAGAAAAAGTTACGCATAAAGACACTGGAGACTTTCAAAAAGAGAAACGTGAAAAAGTGACAATGAATTTCTTGCTCCCCGTGGCCAGACACTCTGCGAAAAAATTTTGAAACAGTGCCTGTTTCACGTTGACGTTTTCAAGACCGTATCGAGCGCGATTCTCGAAAAGGGACAGTTTCAAGCGACAGGCTATCGGCCATTAATCATTGTAACCATGCATAAAAATTAATCAGCGCAAATTCCTAGTATTCAAGTGACAAGGCTATGTCGATGGAAGTTGTGTCATGCCCGGAGAAACAGGTAATAAAGAAGTTCGTGCAGAGTGTACCGTGTCCACAGACAAAGCCCAAGAAAAAGCAAGAGGTGATATGTCCGGCGACGAAGCACAAGAGGGCTCCAAAATACGCGGAGGACGTCTCGTGTTCGGGAATGCAGCATAAAAAGAAATTGTCCCGAGAAGTGACGTGTACGGGAAGCGGAAACGGCAAGTCAGCTAAACATGCGCAGAAAGTACCATGTCCTGTTAAGGAGAAAAAGTTCAAGGGATGCCCGCAGTGCGAGAACAACCGGATTGAGAAGCTGGAATGCGAAGTAGAATGTCAAATGATCGAAATTGATTTATAAGATGACATAACGAAGTGATATCCATCAATTTTGGTGAAACTGGTAGAAAGTTGATCATTATATAATTCAGATTAGGGGGAGAAGCACTTTGTTAAATTTACCTGATTTTGACAATTTTTGTTAATTCTTCTCATTGGATTTTGATCTAACTAATCTAGACTTTATGATTTTCACTCCTTCAATATAAATGAAGGTGAATAAAGGCAATGTATCTTAAACATTTTCATAAGAACTACTTTTTACCAGAGTTACATGAAAATTGGCGAATACCACTTGGTATGTTTACTTATCAATGAATACAGAACTATGCAAAAGTCTTAAGCCGACATTATATTACTTAAAATTTTAGCCGTTCTATTTTCATTCATATTTCCGCTATTATAGCAAAAGTTCCATAACTTTTATCAATAATACTATATTACGTCCATTAATAATTATTTTAAAAAATAGGTTACACTAGAAAGTAGATAAAACTGATTTTCACTTGGAAGTGGAAAGAGATACACATTCACCAAATATTTTCACTTCTCACAATTAAACAAGTGACTCCTTTGCATACAATACAAATCTATAAATCCCCCCATTCCTACGTTCTCCAATAAATATTGAAAAACACGCATTTTCCACGTATATATCACTTCCGAAGCAGCAAACTATTATAATATACAGCCCAGTAACAAATAACGCATTATGCTCATATCATTAACATAGATTTATTTAAGCCCAGAGCCTTACGTGGTGGCCCAGGACTTCCATATTCCACGAAACGTGTGTTCATAGGTGTATCAGCTGCGAAGGGAGATCGAGGGCATGAAGCACGAGCGTAAGGCGGCGGAAAAAGCTGTGCAGAGAGCGATCCTTCGTGGCGCTCGTGCACTCGGCGGAAGATTTAAACCGATCGTTCCGGAATCAATTGAAAAACTTTTGGATAGCTGCGAGAGCAATGCGTCTTCCACGTCGACGTCGGGGTCGGTTACATGCTACAAAACGAAAGCGGAGGACCAGCCGTGCGGAAGTAAACCGCCGAGGAAGGAGGCCTACCACATCTGCGAGGCGTCCTGCGTCGATTAGAAATCAGCGTTTCGAATCGGGTGGCCTCTTAATTTTCTTTCCGCGGGGAAATTGCGGTTACTCAGCGGCTGCTGCGGCGACACAAATCAAGCACTGGTTATTCAGCGTCGATTGTAATTAATTACTCGTGCCGGACCGTAGCGAATAAAAATAACCGACAAATAAAATGTCGTGATACCGTTGTCGGCTCCAGACGGTTTTATCGCATGGTAATAATTTCCTACGTAACGCGTTAATTAATAAACGGGGGTAAGAGCGACGGGTGGACTCTCGGCGTCGATTTAATTACACGTAACACCGGTGCACGTACGCTAGAACGCCGGCGTGCGTGCTCTACTCGCGTTGGATTCTCGCGTACACGTAGACCGCCGCATCAAAATGGCATCGTTAACACTGATAATCCTCCTCTGAACCGGGCCCAAGCCACTCGGCTTACCGGAAACACGCGCGCGGAAGGTGCGAAAATAATTAACGCCGCGCCAAAGAAACATTTTGCCGTTTCCGGTCGAGTGGCGACGATTCGTCGTTAATCAGCGATCAATTTTATATTCGTCGGTTCGTCGAACAATAAAAAGTGACAAGGAGTCCTCGTCTCGATCGGGATAAGAGATTTTCATTAGAGTAATTATATCTGGTTAACGATGTCGCTCGCGGTAACAATGAAACATTACACGCTACTCGCGGAATCACAAATACATCGCTGTCGCGTTCGTCGACGACGAGTCCCGACGTTCGATCCGTTAATGTTACGATGGATCATCGTTCGCGGAACACTTTCTAACGGCTACGTTCGAAAAACCATCAACTACCGCGCAGGGGTTATAAAATTCGCAAATACGTCGTCTGGACGTATTAGCGCATCAATGTGCCCGGATGAATCGCCGTTAATTCGTTGCGCTTAAAATTTTCAATCGGAGCTTTTGAGTGCTGAAGAAGCATACGGGAGAGCTGGTCGGTGGCGGGGGTGGGATAGCGGTTTTGCTGTTTCGTTAATTCGCGGGAAATGAAAACGTCCGTATCGTCCGTTGCCGGTTGCTGTGAGCGTGACAACGACTTTCGCGGGGAGTGCATAAACCATAAAATTGGCTCTCTATTAGAGCAAACAATCGGGCCCGCGATCGATAAGATCCGTTTTGTGTTAGTTGACCAGCGCAGGACCATAAAACCTGTCCTGGCGCGGCCGCCGAGGGCCGTATTGTAAATTGATAGCGATAAAATCTACTCATCTCTCGGTTTATTCGGCGAGTCGAGCGCACCGTCGGTTCGCGGCATTATGCAGACGCGCACCAGCGAAATGGCAAGATTATTTTAAGGCGATTTCGCTTTCCTCCACCTCCCCATCCTCTTTCTCCGCAGCTTCCTCGACTCCTCGTCCTATCGGACTCTTCCGTTTCTCGTCCCCGGGTTTCCACGTTTACCGGGGATATAAGTTAGGCTCTCGTGGAAACAGGTACACTCTGACCAGCGAGCAAGCAAACGAGCGTGCGAGCGAGCGAGCGGTTAGGCAAGCAAGAAAGAAAGAAGCATGTCTGCTGATGGTTCCTTTGCGATATCGTTCTTGGCAAATATTAGGTGGTTCCGTCGACTGGAAGACGGTCCAATGTTTTCATTTAATATCCTGTGAATGTCGAGCGGACTCGCGACCGGCATTCAGGGAAAAGATTGCGTGAGCCATTTCCCGTGACTAGTGAGCGATGTCGTCTTTGAGATAAAGCACTCTTCAAGATCCGCGGGTAAGAACCGCGGACGTGGACGGACGCGTTCCACGAGTTAGAGGGGTTGTTACTTACATCTGCTAGTTTTTCAATCGCCGGCCAGCCGTCTCGTCGTCGTTTCTTGCGCTGTTTGCCTGCTTTTCTTCCGTCCGCTTGGAACTGTTATTTGGGGACAGGACGGCGGGCTCGGCTGCGTAGTGTGTCGTCGCGATAAATTAGCCGCGATCGCCGCGTTGATATCGCTAATTGAAGTTTATCGCTGCGTCTTTCTCTGTGCGAGCGACGCGTTTGAGAGCTCGATGAATAGTTACAACAGAAATTGGACGGCACTGTGACGGAAAATACTCTAATTCAGATCAAATACCGTAAATTCCTGTCGCTCATCAAAGGCAGAGGCACCGCGTCGAGCCCAAACGTCCCTGTGTGCGCACGCGCGTGTCTATTAACGCGTGGCCTGATAAACGGGCGATAATGACGATTAAAAACGGTTCCCGCGCCGTGTAAAAACGTCAAACGATCCACCGTACCGCGCGGAATCGGTCTCTCATTAACGATCAAATATTTTCCGCAGTGACAATTCAAAGCGGAATGGAAACGATTCGAAACTTTCCCCGATGCGTATTGCGAAAATAATAATGTCGAAAGGAAATCATATGGCAAGATAGAGTCGGCTTGTAATAATTCTTGGTTTCTCTGCTGAGGCAAAGTTTTATAATCGGTAGCCGGGCCGCTTCAAAGCCCGGTCCCGCCGACGGCAGAGGGGGAAGGGGGATTGTACAAGGGTAAAAGACTTCGATCATCGATGCTTCGAGGGGGGAAGCAAGGTAAGGCGTAGTCCGTTAATAGTTCATTATTAAAATAAAAGAGGCAGACGAGAGGAACGGAACGATTGAAGCTGAAACAAAAGATACATCCGATCTGATAAATAATATCGGACAACGAAACTGGGGAAACGCGGATAATTAGTTAACTTGCTTTCTTTCCAGTTCCCCGTGTTCCGCGTGTATCCTGTGGTTTGGGATAAAATTCTTCAGATAAATCGTCGGTGTCTGCGCGAATTTATGTCACGAACGGACTGGCGTAACCGGATAATTTATTCGAATAGTCATTCCAAACGCGTGCCCTGCGACGGACAGTTGAGACCGAATGACAAATTCGTGTTTATGAGGGTATAATGTCTCAGACACGCCTGTTGGACCTCTGCCAGCCGTTACAGCTGTATATTCGGGTATCGCGGCCCGATCGCGGTCAACGTTTCGCTATTCGCTAGACACCACCCTGGACCGAGTTAATTAAGTGGTTCGCTCGTTTTCTCGGTTCCTTCTCTTTCGAGCACGCCAAAACCTTTGTTCCCCTACCAACCGTTCGCCTCGTCTCGCGACTTTCACGCGATTAGCGTAGCTGGCACGGGCCTGAATCGTGGCAGCCAATAAAAGAATCAACGCTAATCTTCGTCGACAAGAATGTTTCGCAGTGGGAACGAATTGAAATGTCAGCCGGCTTGTTAATGGACCTCCCTACTGGAAACGTTGGTAACATAAAGTGATGTTTGAGGATTTTTTTATAAAAAGCTGTTAAACATGTCCATTTCGATTTTGCTATTTACTGGCGTGTATTCCTTGGAAGTGTGCATTTCTTTTTAGTACCGACGCTGATTTAATTCAAATTGTTAGCAGTTCCGCAGGAGTGTTAGGAGAAAATCATTGTTGTCCACTTGAAATTTAAATGACAAAAAGATTTTTAACCTGTAGGAATGTGATTATTGTTTGAACTAGAATAAAGGAAGTATTGAGAAATAGAAAACGTTGAAATTAGAAAGGAAAGTTTTCAATTTTAGTAAAATAAATGATAATTTTAAGTTTAAGAGCTAAACATTTCGAATTTTACACGCATTGACAGTTTGCAAGGTTTGAATACATCGCGTCAATCAGTTACAAAAATGCCATTAGGACAAAAATGATTGAAGTATTAGTGTAGTTTTATAATAATCACACCTAATCAATTATAAAACAGATATTTTTCAGTCAACTTTAGATACTATTGGTAAACAATTAGCTCCTACCAATTACAAAAATCATATTTCAAGAAAATTCGTCTAAAGTTTCACATATTCTTTACAATCAACTGTAAAAGTGTTCTTTATTCTTCCACATAAATCGTCGTTCCTCCAAATTTTCCAATCAAACTTTCAGCCCTTAAAGTTTCCTACTATCTCAATCTCAGCATTACGACGACGAAGTGAAAAGCTTTTACGCTCCGAATCAGCTGAAAAGAGGCAAAGTATATACGAGAAGCAACCAGGAATGCTCAGCGCTCGCGATGGTAGCTAAACAGCAGAATCACGCGGTGAAGTATTGTTCCAACGAGGTGCTCCCACGATCGGGCGGTTTTTAAATGGAAACGATAATCGTCCTCCTTAGTACCGAGAAGTATTCCACCTGTCGCGGACTTTATTGTTACCCCGCTCGTATTTCCCTCGCGCGAGCAATACGAATTGTCGCCCGTGCGCGCGGCCAGCGGTAGATTATCGTCGACGGCGCAGCAATTCTTGCGGTCTGACACGGTGTAATATTTCAACGCCGCCTTGACAACATTTTTTACCGTTCTCCGTGCACCACGGCGGGCATATCGCGAGAGTAGGAAATATCAGCGGATGACTGTAGCCTTATGCGCGCCGTTCTGACATGATTGCTGGAAGATCGCGATAGCGTCAACCAGCTAACTTCCTCTCGCAAGCGCGACTTCAACGTCGACCTTTGACTTCGTTCCCGGAAAAACCTACAGCCCGCCTCGTTCTCGCTATACCGGACGTCACACGTGGTCCCCAGTCTCATGAAAAAGGAACAAAATTACGAATCCATTCGTCACGGAAACCCGGTTCGCGTTAACGATCGCGACAACGTTCGAACAATGCAACGCGTAAAATTGCTATTTACCAGGTGCAGCTCTTTAATGATCACCGCGTAGAGCACGGGGTTATGGTTAAAGAAACTTAGACGCGTGAACGTGGGCAGAGCCGCAATCGCGCGGATACGAAATATCGCAGACACGCGTGTATGAATCAACGTTACGGAGAGACGCAGGAAACGTCATACCGTGTCCCCGATTGTGTGAGGCGCGAGGGGATCCTTCTTTCAGAGTTTTGCGTAAAAAAAAAGAAGACGAAGAAAGAAAGAAAGAAAGGAAGAAAGAGAAAGAGGAGAAAAAAGGAAAAGAGAAGGAGGAGGAAAAGAAAAACGTCGACCCTTGGAAGAACGGAAAAGCCATCAGCGCTGATAAATAAAA